TTTTCAGAAATATCAGCTTGAATATTAATTTTGATCATTTTTGCACTATAGAAAAATTCTTGAAAAAATTGTCGCAGTGACCGAGTTAAAGTAGCACCGATTTTCCTACAAAATATCGTGAAACCTAGCATGATGTACCACGGCTCTGTTGCCAGATTAGCCGATTTATGGAGACTCTGGTGACCAGTCTCCAGCACCTCGAACTTCCTCCGATATCGGCCAAATATCGTCGTTGACCGAGTCGACTCGTAATTCACGAGTTTTCGAACCGTGGCCATGGAAAGGTATTCGTTATCGATCCACGTCTCTTTATTTAATTTGATTCATACGCGTGACAATCGACTGGAACGTTTCCTGGCTATACACCTTTGTTTAATTTTGAACGCTATCGTCATTTGCACGTTATATTTGCATACTTTGACGTATCTTTGGTGAATAAACATTAGTAGTCTAGGAATAACAAGTGATGTTCTCCAGACACCTTAAACGAGTCCTAACGAACCTCCCCTTGATGACTCAGGGTTGTTTGTAGAAAACTTTAACTCACTGTAAATATTCAATTATGATGTAATTAGTCGTTCAACTAACAGAATCATCGTTGCTTTAGCAACCAGGTGAAAAACCTTGATTTTAAAATAGAACTTGTAATATTCAATCGCAGTCTTCGCTTTAATTTTCGATTATCATATGGTCAGCCTTTCGAACATCTCCCCTGTGGAATTACTTGGATATGCGCATCGCAAAATACGCAAATCGTTCGAAGTTGGCGAATTCGGCCAATTGCAGCGGTCAATTTTGAACGATCTTAATCTGAAGCCGCGATTGAAATTCATGAAGCATAATCGCCGGCGAAATTTCTACGAACGGATTTGCCCGCGCTTCGCGATCCTCCATGCGCATACATTCTCCTGCTTTATTGTTTAAAACATTGATCAGTGGTCCCCCTCTCCCGGGGCAATTACCGACGTGTCGCTACACCGGCATTATTCTTCCAGCGGAATTAGTTCTGAATACACCGTCGGTGCTTTCGTTATTCCATAAAAATCGATGACCGTTTGAACGATACGATTGTTTCCAACCGCGAACAAATAAACGTGTCCCATCGTAAATCCTATTTCTCAAGATCAATTTCATGGCTTGTAAAGTTCACTATTTTTTTTCCATTAAGTTTAACAACCTTTCCCTTTTGATCATACTGCCGATCTATATTCGAGTATTAATTACACTTACTTTTCAATTCATGTAGGTAGTTACGAAAGAAGTAACTTTGATAGTTTGATGAATTCGTACTTTTATCAAAGTTTCCACTTTACATCTGGTCGTATTTGAAACTCTTACATAATTTCTTGGACGATGAAACTTTCCCGGAGGCGTTCTTGTATGCAAGCAGTTGGCTGCTTAATTATGGCACACCTAGTTGCGAAAACAATCGTAAAGGGCTGACGTGCCACTAGGAAAATGTTAACCTCTCTAAAATGGGGACTATTTTAAAATAGTCATTGTAAACTTACAAAATTCAGTTTTAAATCGAGACTACTTGCAATTAAAGTACCAAGAATCGATCAGAAATTCGAAGCGTCTGTCCGTGAAGTCGTGACCATAACGAAACGGAATTTGATGGCGTTGCAACGCAAACAGAAACGAGCGCAAACATCGTGTGCTTTCGAGTCTGCTGCAAGCACGTGCGTCCTCGTGAAAAAATAAAAGCTGTCCAACCGTGTTACTTATACTTCCGCGTGTACGATAACGCGAGGTTTTGATAAGCTCCCGTACGCCGCATTGGACACGCGTCTCAACGTTTATCTCTGGCGCAGAAATTTCCCTCGCTAACGTAATCCCCTTTTCCCCGGTTTGTCCGCTATTTATTCCTTACAAACCTCGTCGTTTTCCAGCCACCTCTTACTTCAACCCTTTCCTCTTCTTTTTCCCTCGTTTCCTTCGACGAGCACGCGAACCAACCCCCGTAGCGTACGTGCCGTTTATTGTGAATTGTGGAACATTAGTGGAATTGATGTTTAATTAATTCCGTTGATATGATAGCGTATTATGAAAAATTCTAATGGCACCTTAACGTTAGCTCGCTATTTTCTCTCGCATAGGGTTCGTGTGCTGGATACTGTTTTCTCGTTGTTTTACGTAATTGATAGATTTCAAGCTGATAAATCGGTTGACCTGAATTCCTCTTTTCGCGAAGGAGAGAAAGAGGTTGTGCGATCTCTTGCTTGACACTGTCAAAGAAAGGAGGCCAAATGAGGCTGTTCCGAGATACCGCCTCTTATTCGGATTCCATTGATCTGTCGATGGAAGCGTTATTCGGGCCAGAGGGCTTCTTGAAAGAGGCAACAACGGTTCACCTGTTATTCCACGGAATATTTTCCGCGGTTAATTAATATCTTGCGAAAGTTCCATTAAAAATTGTATCGTACGACTTACAAACCCTTCTTCGGGTTACGGGGATAGCCTGTTACCTCATTACATAAATGTTGCTCAGAATGATTGACTCATTCAAGAGCCGAAGCATCTAGAATTCTGCCAGGTAATTATAAAGAACCATCTGATCTATAACGTTTAATACAGAGGGTTTTGAAGTTGTAAAACTAGCAATTGTAGACTGCGAACTTTAACACGTTGAAAATTACTTTTAGACTTCTAAGACTCGACACGAACGATTTTGAACTTGTAGAACACGTAAGCGCACGATATCGAACTGGTAGAACACGAAGAGAAGCTTGTTTGACAGAGCGAAGTTGAAGATGATCTCGTACCCTGACGATTTAAGCTTTAGATCAATGATCAGATTATATCTAACAGGGAATATTCCGCGACAGCTTCTCAGCATAGGATAATTGAAATCTATTTTACAAAGGTAGGCACTTTTTTGATGCAATTAACATTAAGTGCAAAGTTGTGTAGTTTTATCGTTGATAAAACAGTGAAAATTTAATCGTTCAATCTGCTGCTTCATTGTATTTAGAATTTTCTTCTATTTATTTTGCAATTAACAAAAGGAATGAAAATAATTAACAAAAAGAGGAGAGGTATTGTTTTAAATAATAATAACGGAAAATAACAAACTGAAGCGTGGGTGGCATTTTTATGATATTCGAACCTTTTTCTCCATTATTTTTTATTATTTAACCAAATGAAAATCGCGATGCGCGAGAGTGACGGCCTCCGCGGTAATCCACGTGTTAACCGCACAGTTCTATTACGGAGAAACAAACTACAAAATGAAATTCCATATAGAATATTAAAATTCTATCCCTCCCCCAAACTGGTTGACTGATTTCGTCTGAAAGCAATGCTTCGTTCTCATCGAATCGAAAGCAGCAATAGAATGAAAGAAGCAATCGTGTTATCTCGTGGCATAAAATTCAGTGAGACGAGGGTTAAGTTCTCATTTCCTTTAAGAGTATTTTCGCGGGTTCGGCAAAGTAAATCCAGCCGCGAGGAGATAATGAAGAAATCGTGGTCGTAATTATCGTGGCAGGTGATCGAGGTGGAATTTACGATGCTCGTCGGCGTCGAAAATCGTCGATAATGTTAAGTCGAGGATGAGACACGCCAACCGCGATTAAATAACCCACCGCGGCTCTATCATGAAACGTTCCCCGTCGAGTTGCTCGTCGAGTTCTTCGTTTCAGTCGACCATGCCGGTATTTATGAACGATGCCTCCACTTTCGTCGTTGAAACGATCCAACGTTATAACGAGTTTTCAAAATGGTCGCTTCAGCTTTCGGGAAGCAAAAGGGGACACGGAACCGAAGGCTATTCGAGGGAAAAGTTTCGGCGAAAGGCTTTCACGTGCACACGGTGTTCCTGTTGGCGACGTAGGAATTTCTGGCCCGAATATACCGCCTCTCTTTCTCTTTCTCACTTTGAGAAACACCCTTTATACTCGTTCTCCACTTTCAACGAAAGTCGCTCGCGACTAAACTGACTGGAAGATGGTTGCGTCAAAGAGAATAAGCGTTGATTTTACGCCCGGTCGCTTCCCCGACACGCTCAACGACCCTGCGTCTCTCCTCTTGATGGCGAATAATTTCAAATGTTTACGCGAGACCCTTGGGTATCGAGGCACCGATACGTTCTCCAGCAACACGTATCCGACCATGTGCGTGACCGACGATGACGGCGAACCCTGGTAATGGACACTGTGCCAGTAAATATTGCTTTACAATACACTTGGGTCGCGCCTCGCACCACCTGCCGATTGCTGCCAACGAATCGACCCGGGGATTCGCACTTTTTTATCGAGAAATTGTGTTTCAGTTCACGCGTGGACGTGTGTACACGATCGATGACAGAATTACAGTTTATTTAACGAGATCAATCAGTCGAATCGCTCGGAAATGAACTATTCTTTTAAGACTCGCGATAAACGTTTGAAAATTATTGTCATTGAAAAATGAAATTCCACTATATATAAATTTGGAAAATTCCGCTACATGGAGCTGGTTGCATAGTACAGTTGGTTTCACCGTGATGTTTGTGTAAAACGCGATAAGAAGGATCAAAAGAATCAGTGTATAGGTCGGTTCAAGTATTGATCTGCCTTCGGTCAACGCACATCTATTAAATTCGATTCAAGGAGCCATTGTTGCCGTGATACTTTGATCCGCATTGGAAACATACATCATACATGAACGTGAAGAATGCTTATTCCCCTTCTTAAGTAAAATACGAGGTTCAATGTTACTAACTTCCCCAAGAAGAATTTCAACCTTTATTTCTGATATACATGAACTTTCAAAACCATTAATAACTAATAATTTATCGTATCCTTTGTAATGAAACTCTCAATAATATTTTATGTTTCACGTCATCGTATGAAATTCAATATGCTTACTTTGCAATAAACTTCCAGATTTCAAGGAATGTTTCCCCCAAAATTCCTACCCATTTTTGTTCCAACGTATCTGTTGCTCTTTCCCTGTCAGCCGATCTACGCAAAAATTTTAGCAAGAAAAGAGTTTCTACTTATTCTCCCCTTCGAAAGATGTTTCAGGTTGATCCAGGCAGTTTCAAAGAAAAGTGGCTGATCGATGAATTCGAGTCTACGGCTACGTCGTGCGGCGGACCTCGTCTTTTCCAGCTCTGGAGAAAACTTAAGGCAAGACGACATCGGCCAAAATTTACGACCCTGTGAATCGCGCAACCGAGAAGACTTATCCGCTCTCTAATCCCCTCCAGCCCCTTCGAATGGATGGCTAAAGGTAGAGTGAAACTTTTATGATTTTCTATGGATTCTGATTAAATTTCGTCGAGCATTCGACTTGAATTTTATACCTGGGAAAGATAGCAAACAATGGGGGCTATCGTGGAATTCATTTTCATATTATCATTGATTCGATACTGCAGACTTTTTAATTCTCTTCGATCTTCTTGTTCTCGAAGATTATAGGAATGCATCTATTGCATCTTTCCTTCAGAATTGCAACAAACCGGTCGTAATAAATCAATGCGAACTATCGATGCGAAACATTCCAGAAATGTTTGCCAGAGTTGTGTATTTTTTTTTCTTTTTTTTTTTATGTTCCGCGATCGTTGCAACTTCGATGAAATTTATTATCTTGCAGGTTATAGCGGGCGAAAGTTTTACCAGTTTTTCACTTATGCAAATACGTAGCAGGTGTTCAAAGATTCTTTTACTGCCTGCATACCGGGCATATCTCACATTTCATGAATTTTCCTCTAAATTCGTGTTTGCGTTGTGTAGCAAGCTTTTTATACTCTCCGCCAAACGAAGCCGCAATTTTAACGTTTGCTTCATTCGGCTACGTTGCTTTTTAACGTAATCCTTTTTGTCTGGAGAAACGTGCAATTACGATCGCGATCCAGGCGACTAACGTTGCTTGCAAACATTTCGCTTACTCTTTTTTAAGGAATCGATTTTTCCTCGAAATAAAATTCAAATGATCGACAATTTTCTAGTGGGAATTAACGCGTATTATGTGCTCTAACAAGGAGGAATAGAGGAGCAAGTAGAATTTCAGAGTTTAGTTTAGTCGCAATTATTTACTCGTTCGTCATGGATCATCAAAAGCAGGTTAAATGGTTCCAGAGCGGAAAAGTGTTCGCTGAAACGGAAACAGAGTCACAGCGAGCAGAAGTGAAATATTTTCAAAGGCACGGTTGCCGTTAGGTGTTGCAGTGAAAATGTCGTGAACTCGCATCAGGGCAAACAGTAATTGTTCTCGCGCTAAAAGAGGGCACACCGGCAACGAAGCCTTTTACCAAGCACTTGCATCGCATTTGCATCGCAGACGAAGATGTTACTGAATCTTAGCTGAATATCGTTAGAAACGACACGATTGCCGGCACGATAAAGCACGGCCCTGTTATCGATCCACCAGCGATCCTTCTGGGTTAAAAATATCTACTTCTCCTTTCGACTCTAACAATTGAGCAATAATCCATATCCTATGTTCCTGCTAATGTTTATTCTTTCCTCCTTGTCGAATTATGTGATAAAATCTTGATCATCGATCTCTGATAATGACTAGCAACACCTCATAACGCCATTAGCAAGTCGATTACTAATGCCCACTAATGACCCTCTACAGTAATCAGTGTGTTAATCAATCAAACATTACGACCATTGCCATTTATAAGGCGAACGTTGCTACTAATTAATCCATCCTCGTATACCATTCGGTTGATATCATTGCTTTTAAATAATTTAGAGATCTCGTATCGATTGTTACAAAATAACAGTGTATCAATATTTCAAATTCCTCTACACCAAAAACTTATAAAACTTATAATCATTCGGCGCCCCTAACTCCGTTTGGATTATAAAGTTCCATAAAAGCAAGAAGACGTTAAACCATCAGCTCGAGGTTGGAAGAATGAAAAATCCGAACGATGACGGATGAAATATTAAATTGTATGCAACTATTATCTCCATCGGGCGAGATTATACCGAGTTTCCCCGCCTATTCGCTGCAACTAAAAGACTAAAAGCGTTAAGTAGATTATCTTCACGCGAGAAAAGGTTCGAATGGATAACCGACAAAAGAGAAGAAAACGTGTTACTTCTATAAAAAAGAGAAATAGAGAAAGAGAGGAGGAAAAAATGGTGAAAAACGATGCTGTCCATATTGATCGTTTCGGCACGTGTTCTCGTTGCTTGTGCATTATCGAGAATTCAATTTTCTTCGCCGTTTCGAGCTTCTTAAAACGATCGAAACCGTCTTGGAATTTTCATCCATTTAACGCGATCCTCGTGGAAACGGCAACGAAAGTAAACGAGATGGACAATGGAAACGTCTGTGACCTATATACACTTTGCTTGAGTAATGAGAAGGATACGCGGTGGAGCACTTTCATCGGGGCAAACTGTTCATCTTCGACATTATACCGATAACGAATCGACGAGGATGCTGTTCTTCGTTTCGTGCTGTAATTGCTAAGTCGAGTACAGTAGTCGCTCGATAATTCACCGTTTCTAGGATTCTAAAGGTGTTCGATATAGCTGTCGATGTACGTTTCGCAAAAAAACATTCAACAATTTTTATAGGTTTTTTCGATTCGTTTCGTGTTAAACGCGTGTTCGCAAGAGCCATTAAACGGCTGGTAAATCCGTGTACGGATTTTCGCGTTCGAACACGATCTCAATCGATCTCGTTGCTTTTAACGAAACACTTGTTTTTTCGCACCTCTCCCTTTGATTCGACCGCTTCACGTGCGTAAATATTTTTTGTTTTCTTTTCTTTTTTTTTTTCAAACATTTATCACGACGGAACGCAAAAGAATATTTTTCAATATTTACGATGCCCTGACGTACGAGCGCAAACTCGACGCTCGAAAACGCAATTCGCTGCGAACCTCGCGTACAAAGGATTATAATATCGTCCGTGAAACATTTTACGTTGAAAAACCCGTTTTTCTGATGAAGATTCCCCGGTTTTTTTTTTGTTTTTGTTTTTTTTTTTTTTCGAAAGTCGCGTCAAATTCTACCAATCGATGCCCTTGCTGGAAAAACTAACTGCATAATTAACTTCAAACTTTTTCATAAAGCTCCGAGTATAAGTTCTTTAAAATCTTCGTTCCAGTATTATTATTATAAGTCTGTTGCGAAAATGTTTTACAAGAAGAAGTTGTAAAGCTGAAAATATTGCGCGAAGCTTCTTCGAAATTAAAAGTTTACTGAGTAACTTCCTGGGTCGCAGACTTCTTTCTTTTTGAACATCATCATCAAAATAACCGTTGGGTAAACATTTCTAATTTTAACTTGGATTAATCTCCATTCAAGAATAAAGCTCTTTCGCCATGGTTTCTCTGTAATTTCTGAAAGCTTCAACTTGAAACGTAAACAATCGCCAATCCGTGCCGATGCCTTTCCCGAAAGTTCGAGTAAACATTTCACGACCAGCCAGATGCATTCGCTGTCGAATCGAACTTGACGAGAGAAAAATATTTCAGTTGAAATTTCCCGTGGAATTCAATCGCGACTATAAGGAGAGAAATTTTGCAAAAACATATTTTGAATTTGTATATAGATTTAATCGGCTGTAATATAATTTTATAGGTAATCTCTACAGGTAATTGTAGTCGCGAGCGTAAAGTATAAATGAGTCTACTTACGTAGGCCACGATCTTTTTTCTCATTTCCATACGTCGGTTTCTTCAAGTTCTCGCCACTTAGCGGCATTCCCGATGAAAGAATAGTTAAGCGAGGCTTCGTGAATACACGGGTTCGAGCAAGGGACGCAGCGTGAACTTCGCGTGATTACCGGCAATAATAATTTCCTCCTGCACCGGTGCTCCCTTCTCGTCGCTTCCGGTTTTCCCCTCTTAGTTGCCCAGATGATACCGATAGCCTGATTACTTCCGAATAATACGGAGACAACGACCTAATTGGCGAGTTTACTGCCTTTTCTTTTCCCTCGATTCTTTCGTTGCCGTTCTTAAGTGGTTAACGCGTTCAACGCCACGGTGAAAATGTTCGTGTACACTCGGACACGCTATAATTACAATCGTTCTGAAACCTGATACTATGTTTTTCTCAATAGAGATCACTTCTTCGGTGATTATCTTGAAAACCTGAGACCTGTAATATTCGAGATACGATATCAGAATTACGTATCAACTAACGATTCTTGTGTTTCTGCTAATAAACCTTACAAACGCACGTACCTAAAACAGGCGTGTACGAAAATGAGACGAGGGAAATTCCATTTTCCCAGGCTGAGTAGAAGCAGGCCGAAATCATATCAGGTAGCAGGTACTGTCGAAGTTGTTGCACGTCCTGTGAATTTGGCACACCGCTCTACACGGGGGCTTGCAGAACTCGAGCAAATTGATTTTCAACCAAAAACGTCCTCATCGAGTATTACAGTCTTCTAAGACCACTCGAAAATCACGTAGAACGTGTTCGTGAAAATAATGATACCGTTCGAACGCGATTTTAAATGAAACTTTATATCGTATAAAAATGAAAACATTCTACGACGAGCCGAATGAAATACCCTTACCATTATCAGATTTTCAAAAATATTTTCCTCCTTGCTTATGAAGAAAATTTATCACAATTTTATCACTTTTCATAACAGCCAGCATAAAGTTATACGATAAGCTGTACAATACCCACACGACCTTTAACCAATATTCCTCACGATGTATCGCAAGCTGTAGCCGAAGAAAAAGTATTAATCATCCGTGAACGTTTCGTGGAACGCCTCAGGTAACTAACAATACGCGTTCTCGCGTTGGATTCAAGGAACGTTATTAATCGGTGCAGGTGGGTAAGACGGAGGCGCGACGGTGTTCTGCGTTAAGTTCAAAATAGAATATTTAGTGTGTCAAAGGAAGTAGGCTGAACCTGCTGGAAATATATTCCAATTTCGTCGGTACTGTTCCCTGTAATACAAGTAGTTAACGCGGAAAGCTAATCCGCCGCGCACTCTCGAGAATTTACTTCGGTTTCTGGTTTCTCCGTGCTAACCATTTATCCTGCTTTAAGGGTGGCTGCGGTTTAAGGGAAAGTGGATTACCGGAAGTCCCCGTACAACCGTGCCCCCCGGTCCGCTTCAATCCCGGCTAAATTCGATCACGTGGCCATTGGTGAAACGATAAGGGTCGATTCGCTCAGTATACCCGCAGCCTCAACCAGACTCTTATCTTTCCTCGCTGAAAAAGCCTCACGAACGAATCGTCTATCTTGACGAAGTTGTCGCCCTATCTGACGGGAAACTGTGCTAAAGAGACCTCT